TGTCTCATTGCTATATGTTTATCAATAAAACTTTGAAAAGAAAAAAAATTTCTTCCTCTGAGAAGTGTGTGTTCATCTTGGATATCCATTTCTGGATTGGGTCTTTAAATTTTGGGGCCCTAATGTTCCTTAGTTCTTTATAAATTCTAGAGAACAGACTTTTGTCTGAGTGCTTATTTGTTATGATTTTTTCTAAGTTTGTGGGTTGTCTTTTCACTTTGTTGATAATTTCTTTTGACGATAGACCTGGGTCAAGTTTGTTTTTCAGCATGTAGAGAGCCAATTTTTCCAGCACCATTTGTTAAAGAGACTATCTTTCTTCCAGGTAGTGTGTTTGACCCCATTGTCAAAGATCAGGTGGCTGACTATGTTCCTAGAGATCTCTGCATCTTCTAATCTATTCCATTGATCCTCAGGTCTATTTTGTTGCCAGTACCATGCTGATTTGATCACAGTAGTTTTGTAGTATAATTTCAAGACAGGAATTGTAATGCCTCCTGCTTTGTCTTTGTTGGCCAGGATTGCCTTTGCTATTCTAGGTCTTTTTTGGTTCCAAATAAATTTTAGGAACAATTTCTCTAGACGTGGGAGGTATGTTGGTGGTAGTCTGATAGGGTTTGCATTAAATCTATACAACAATTTTGGGAGTATGGCCATCTTCAAGATGTTGGTTCTTCCTATCCAGGATCAGGGAATATCTTTCCATTTTCTGAAACCCTGTATGATCTATTTTTTCAGAATACTGTAATTTTCCATGAAAATATCCTTGATTTCTTTAGTTAGATGAATTCCAATACATTTTATTTTTTGTGGGGCTATTGTAAAATTTATTGATTTTATAATTTCCCTCTCAGTGAGTTTGTTATCCGTGTAGAGGAATGGTATTGACTTTTTTGTATTGACTTTGTATCCTGCTATGCTACTGAATTTGTCTATCAATTCTAGGAGCTTCTTGGTGGAGTTTTTTTGGTCTTCCAAGTAAAGTATCATGTCATCTGTAAATAAGATAGTTTCAGTTCTTCTTTACCTATACTTATTCCTTTTATTTCTTATCTAATGGCTCTAGCTAATGAATCCAGAACTATATTGAATAGGAAGGGTGATAGAAGACATCCTTATCTTGTCCTAGATCTGAGAGCAAAAGATTTCAGTTTTTCCCCATTCAGAATTATATTAGCTGTTGGGTTATCATAGATGGATTTTATCAAATTGAAGTAGAGGACTTCTATTCTAATTTTCTATAGGAGTTTGAACATGATTGAGTGTCAGACTTTGTCAAAAGCCTTTTTGGCATCAATTGAGTTGATCATGTGGTTTTTAGTCTTCACTCTATTCATATAGTGTGTTACATTTATAGATTTTCAAATATTGAACTATCCTTGCATCCCTGGAATAAATTTACTTGGGCATGTTGTATGATCTTCTTGATGATTTGCTGCATTATATTTTCTAGGATTTTATTGAGGATTTTTGCATCTATGTTCATAAGGGAGACTGGTCTATAGTTCTCTTTCTTAGTTGCATCTTTCCCTGATTTTGGTATCAGTATAATACTTGCTCAAGGAATGATTTTGGGAGAACTCTTTCCTTTTCAATTTAACTGAAGAGTTTGAGGTGTATAGGGATTATATCTTCTGTAAGTTTCCTGTAGAATTCAGCTGTGAATCCCTCAGGACCGGGACTTTTCTCTTTCAGCAGGCTCTTTATTACATTTCATATTGAATTGGCTGTTATTGAGAGTTGTTATATTTTATTGATTCAGTTTTGGTAATTTTTACCTTTCTAGGAATCTGTCCATTTCATCTGCAACTTCTATTCTGTAAGCATAAAAATTCTCAAAGTGGTGATTGATAATCTTCAGAATTTCCACTGGGTCTGTAGTAGTTACACCCTTTTCATTCCTTATTGCTTGTATTTGAAGTTTTTCTTTCCTCTTTTTGATGAGGTTAGCTAGGGGCTTATCCATCTTTTTTTAATCTTTCAAAGAACCAGTTTTTTGATTCACTAATTCTTTTAACCGTTTTCTTCATCTCAATTGAATTAATTTTTGTTCTAATCTTTATGGTTTCTTCCTGTCTTTGGGCTCTGGGTTTGGTTTTTCTCTTGCTTTTCTACATGTTGAAGGTGCATCATTGAGGAGTTTATTTGTTCCCGTTCTGTTTTCCTAATGTGTGAGTTCACAGCTATAAATTTCCCTGTCAGAAATGCTTTCATGGCATCCCATTAATTCCAATATGTTGTGGTTGAATTTTCATTGAATTGTAGATATTGTTGAATTTCTTGTTTAATTTCATCTATGACCCACTGATTGCTGAGTAGGGTGTTGTTGAATTTCCATGTATTTAGAGGGTTTTTCTGGTTTCTTTTGTCATTTATTTCCAGTTTCATTGCACTGTGGTCAGATAACATGCATAGGATAATTACAGGGCAGGCTGTGCTAGGTCTGGCCAGGCGGGGCGGGGAACATCTGGAGAATGCAGGGAAAGACCTCTCTCATGTGGCGGGCCTGGGCTTGGAGCTGTCCTGGGGATTATACCCAGGGCCTTACACTGACCTGTATCTTTAACTCTTTTTTAAAAATTTTGAAACAGTCTTGCTAAATCACTTAGCCCATGTCAGGCTGGGCTTGAACTTGTAATTCTCCTACCTTACTCTTCCAGAGTTCTGCAATTACAGGAGTGCACCACCATACCCAGCTTAGAATTTAATTCTGGGTGGACTGAAGTGTCATGTGTGGATTTGGATTGAAGGAGAATCAGAGGCAGTGGTGTGCTAAAATGCTCACCTTGACCTCATGATGTCAAGGCCACTGGTGTGAAGGATGTAAGAGAAGGTGCAGTGAAAGTAGTTTAATTTAACCTCTCTGCCAGTATTGTGATGTGGAGCAAACAAGTCCCAGCAGAGGGTGCAAAGAAGGGGTGACATTCAGCATAGCAGTGCAGTGCTTTGTGTATTGTGTCATCCATGAGTCCTTTTATGGCTTGTGTCTAGATGTTTCCCCAAAGCCTCATGCAATCATGGGTGTGGACCTCTAGAGCTCTTGACTGACTATAGCTCAATGCTGAGATGATGGGTGTGAATTCTACACTTGCCCTAGGGCTAGTAACCTGCATACAATATAAGGAAAGAGGCTTCCTTACAGCTTTTTCTCCTTTTTTCTCTTGCTGCTTTTGCTGTTTTCCACTGCCTTAACCTGTTGCCCTCTTCCATGTGCCACACTGCTTTGGAGCCAGATGCAAATACTATGAGTCAATCAAAGCTATAGACTGCAACTTCCGCAAACTGAATTAAATAAATCTTCCCTTCATTAATTTTGAATGTTAAGTATTTTGTCTTAGCAATGAGAGAAAAGTAAATAAGACAGAATTTGTTACCAGAGAAGTGAGGTTGTTTTTGTGACTGTACCTGACCATGTGTGGTTAAAGAGCCTTTGGGAATGAGTTGTGTGAAGAGTTTGGAAAGGTTTGGAAATGTTGCCTGAAAGAGTAGAGCTGGAATAGTAGAGCTGTTCTGTATGGGAGAGTAGAGCTGAAAGAGTAGAGCTGTTATGTATGGGAGATTCTAATCAGAGCTCAAAAGACCAGAAGGCTGATAATAATCCTGTTGGTAAAGACAAAGTTTAGGATGTTTCTGCTGGGAAGAAGGACTGCATTGGTTGTTGGACTCCAGATGATGTATGTTATGGCTTGGCAGAAAGTTTGTCTGCATTTTGCTGATGTGAAGAGACTTTGCCTGAGATTGAGATTAAGGGTGGTAGACTGATTAATCTGGCAGAAGTAATTTCAAAGCATTCAAATGTTGGAGCAGGGGTATGGCTATTTTGGGGAGCTTTTATCCAGATCTATATTGATTTATATTGGAAATAAAGAACTATATTGAAATAAAGATCTATATTGAAAATAAACAACAAATAGCCCAGCTGGAGTTTAGGGGATGGGGAAATAGCTTATTGCATGTGCTTGCCTGGCAAATGCAAGGGCCTGAGTTCAATCCCAGGTTCCACAAAAAAAATGAGTTTGGCCAGGAAAAAAGTTACAGTAAAGTTGTGGACTACAAAGACAGCTAAATATATTGAAATTGCTGAAAAGGAACAGAAAAAATATAAATGATGGCCTGAGGGCATCATAAAAAGCAGTGTCTCCATCCTTTGCAGCCTCAAACCTGCAAAAGAGAAAGACTTTGTTTTGAGGAGTAAGCCACAGAGTGCCACATTTCAGAATATTAGTGGCATAGAGTGTTTATTCCTCAGAATCATGTTCAGAGTGCTCAGGGACTCAGGCACTTGACCTCTACAGGCAAGAGAGAGCAAAGTTTGGCTACTGCTCCAGCTGGCAGCAAACCTTGGCATCATTCACATGGTGCTGATTTTGGAGACATGCAGAGTACAAGATTTCTGAAGTTAAGAAGGCTTTCCCCTACATTTTAGAAGGCCTGGGAGACCAGGCAATGTGCCCAATGGAGAACAGTGTGTGAAGCTGTGAATGAGAAGGTGCAGTGGAGACCCCAGAAGTTTCGGAAAGCCAGGAGCGTGGATCATCTAAGGAAAGCTGCAAGGAGGAAGCAAAGTGGGCCTAAGAGAGAAGCCATGGGAGTAGTAACCACCAGATGTGCTGTAGAGGTAGAGCCACATGGAGCTCACAATTTTCCACAGATTGCTTTTGATAGTGCACATGGAACTACAGGACTTAATGTTTGCCCTGATGGGTTTTGGACTTGCTTTAATCCCAATGCTTTGTATCCCTCTGTTCCTACCTTTTCAAATTACAGTGCTTATCTTGTGCCATTGAATGTTGAAAGTGTTTAAATTTTCACTTGTATAGGGGTTCACATTTAAGAGTTTACATAACATCTCATAGGAGACTCAGGACTTGGAGTTTTGCTGAATGTGACCATGGTAAGAGTCTTTTTTTCTCCAAGTTTTTTTCATGTCAATGAGCCCCTCTCAATGCCTGCTCAGACTTCACAATGGATTACCACATTCAACCCCAGAGCTTACTTACTAGAGAATTCTTCCTTGGTTTCTGGTTTGAAGGCCTTATCCAGAGCTCTGACCTCCTGAAGCCCCTCCTCTTGTACCAGTAAGTGGATGATACTCTTGCCCAGGAAACCTCCTGCTCCTGTCACCAGGCAGCTCCACCCTGTCATGGTCAGTGTAGTATGCAAGACACAAGGAGCAGGAGTGGTGACTGGGTGATTCTGGAAAGGGCTAAAGAGAAAACCCAAATTGGCAAAGGGCACACAAGGCAGTGGTGATACATAGATGGAAAAACTACTCAAACTCACTTTCTCTACCTCTCTATTATAAGTCACATCTGTGATCCCATCATGTGCAGATGTTTTCCCCACCAAATATGCAAAGTCATGTCTTCAGTAAGCACCAGTCTTGTCTGACATTCACTATCTGGAGAGACTCAGACCACTTAGGGAGAAAGCTTTGTTCCTACTTTTGCTCCAGCATACTTCAGAAACCATTTAGAGTCTCCAGGTTATTTTACTTGTACTCTGGAGCCACCAACTATACATTGGAGTTTTGACAATCCCCTTCTTTGATTCCATTACTTTGCTTGGGCAGCTCCCTAAACTCAGGGAAAAATTTATGATTCTGATTTGAAGGCTTTGTCAATTTATGAAGAAAAATTCTCTCTGCCATTTGAAGGTTCCCTGGAATAACTGACTAAGCAAATAAGAGAAACAAGAATTTCACATCAGGAAAGAAAAAAATCAGACTTTTCTCTCTCCACAAGAATTCTTTCAAAGTTATTCAGAAGATTATACAGCCTATTTCTAAAGGTGGGGGGAAAATGAATCAGATGAACAGTTTGGGGGGTAATAGTAAGTTATAACAAGCTGAGCTCTTTGAACTTGGAGAACAATGGCTTGGGACAAATCTAGTTGACCTCCAGAACAGAAAATTATTTTGAAATGATTTCATAAAGGACTGGAATACTGGTGAGCAGTGTGTATCAAAGGTGTGCACACATTTTTTTAAACAGACTTGAGTCTTTCTTTCTAACATAGGAATTTAGTTAATGGAAGTTAGGAATTGTCCCAGGGGTAGCTGTCCCCTCTTTGAGCATTATTCCAGTTCTTAGAAAAGAACATACCAAAGGAGAGCTGCTTTCAGCATTTGATGTTCCCTGAGTTACTTGCATTTAAGATAGTCAATATATTAGAGTACCAACTTTTGGGATGACAGCCCATAGATTCTTTCATTATTTATGTAGAAAATCTCTGTCTGTCTGTCTGTCTGTCTGTCTGTCTGTCTGTCTGTCTGTCTGTTTGTCTGTCTATCCTTTTTTGAGACAAGTTCTTGCTACATGGTTCAAGCTGGACTTAAACTCACTATGTAGCCCAGGCAGGCTGCAAACTCATGGTGATCTTTCTGCCTCAGCCTCTCCAGTATTCGGTTACAGGTGTGTACCACCAAGCACAGCTATGTGAAGGATATTGAGAGCCTACAGACAAAGAGGTACACAGTGGGATGCTTGTGTGGAAAACCCAACCACCTCCAGAAAGCTTCAGATGCTCACTGATCACTCAGCACTCAGGAGCCCTATCCCTTTGGGTTTTTAAGGAGGCTTCTTTGCAGAGGTATGAATGAAAAGCAGACAACTGAGTATAAATGGGATTGTATACAAACATGTTGACCCATTCCAACATGCTAAATTGGGAAACTCAAGAACACTTGTCTGGTGTGCCATTTTGTCATTGTTTCATTTTGAGGCTAAAGAGCAGGACTTCCCTGAAGTTCGGAGGTTTTCATTACCTACTATAGCTTCCATAGAGAGAGATGTGATCCAGGTGCTGTGGAACACCTCCACCCCCACTTTATATAAATATATACATTTATAAATATCACATGTGTTATCAAACCCTTGTTCTTAATCCATTATGATGATCATCTCATGTCCCCATCACCACCAAGAAAAATTGAAAGAAAATGTAAAGTTCTAACCTGTCAGATTGTTAAAAAGGCAGGTGAAGGATCCTTGGTGCTGGTCCTTTCATTCTCCAAGGCAGGACTGAAGTTTTTATGCTGAGACAGCAAGCTGAGTTTTATAATCAAGAGCTCTTCCTGTTGATTTATCTTTATAGGTTGGTTTATCTTTTATCTTACTGCCTTGGGTAACAAGCAACTTGCTAACATTACACCACTGATGTGTTTCCAAAGACCTATATACCAGTTGTTATACATATGTGGGAGATTTGGGGGAAAGCTCAGGGACAGGTACTTAAGGAGAAGGGAAAAGTGTCAAGCTAAAGAATATAAAATATATTTTTGAATCACATGAAAATAAGTTTTTCCCTCCGTTCTCAAAAACAAAATTTAGCAGTTTCTCTTGATATAGAAGGCAATTTGATAACTAGGCTGGACGCTTCAAGTCAGTACAGTAAACCATAGAATCATTGAACCAGCAGTTTCTATGGAAGAAATGATCAATACATACACAAAGTGGAAAGAACATTTCATTATATTTAGAGATCAGAACTGCCTCTACTTGCATGTTCCTAAGCCCTTGCCATGCACAATGGGACCATAAAATAGCTGATCTCCAGTCCTAGAAGACAATGGTCACCGTATTCTTCTTTGAGCTTGATGGTTGTGGCTGGAAGAACAAACCAGACAATGTCTTGGTGCCACTGGAATCTTTTGAGAACACTACAAGAAACATGGGTAAGCATATCTTAAAGAAGGGCCATAGGGGATCTGATGCACCTGGCTACACATGAAAGGGTTGCCCACATTGTACTTTGCCATGGATCGGTGACAGGAAGTTCATCTGGTCATGTTGAAACTTAAGGATTTGATTCATTGAGGCCAGCAAAGTTGTTAACCTTAGAGGAGTTTTATGTGTTTATGTATTAAATCTGGATACTAATTGCAATGTGTCCTAAGAATGTTCGTATCAAAGCATCCAGGCCATCTTAAAGACCTAACAGGACAAAAGACTGTGAGAACCCCTGTGGTGCAATCTTTTCCTCTTGGGGCTACTGGGCAGCCATCTCTACCAGTTACCCACCTGTTCTGGGGATGAGACACAGTCTATTGTGAGGTGCAAGCTGCTGTAAGGTCACACTTCACTGCCCTGACCTCCTTGATGCTGCTTTCCACATACATCTGTTCCAAAAGAAAAGGTCACAAGTAAGTAATCCCCAGGCCAAGAGCCTGTTCTCATTTCTCATTGCAAATAGAACAGCCCCAGATGAATGGGCTCCATGAATCTATGGCATGAGCAGGTAGGAGGAGGCACAGAGCTCCCTGCTAGGCAAATAGGTGAAGGAGAGATGGAGAATCTGGCACATTCTCACACTATATCAAGGTGAAAGTTGCTGTGTTCTCTGCCTGTGAGTAACCCACCTTGGGGTGACTTTGCAAATGTAAAGTGTGACTTCTGACACCTGGCTGGGGGAGTGGGGAAAAATAGAAACCTTTTGGAAAGGGTTGAAAGACTTCTGACAAGTTCTGCAAAACTGCTTGAAGTAGACTTTCTCTGCGCCTTGTATATACTACATGTATTCACTCTCCCAGCAGATGTTGCAGTCCTTGCAATGATAATAGCCACATTTCTGCTGGAAGTACAGGTACTCTTTGCCTGGCTAAGAGCCCAACCACAACCTCTCCTGTGCAAGGGCAACTGGGGTTCTCAGTCCCTGCACAGCAGTGTTTGCTGCATTGCACCAAGGTGTTGTGCCTTGGCTTTACCTTCACCCCTATACCATAGCAGCTAGGCCTGCAGGAATGTGGCCTGAAGCTAGAGCTCACAGGCAACTGGAGTTGTATGCTGGCAGCTGGCCAAGCACTAGGTGGTCACCACCTGCCCATGGCCACCTAGGAAGGATGATGAATCCACCCCTGAGATGGCTTTTTCAACTAAGAAGATTTCATGGTGGTAAAGAATTGCTAAGAATAAAGCAGTATATCAATACTGGAATGACAAATATATGACCAGCACTTCTAAAAGTTTGGGGACAGGACATTGCATGAAGTTCTAGTGTGTTATGGACATGGACAGTGTCCGTGATGCTAGTTGGTGGGACTGGTGTCAGATGTCACATGTGGGACTGAGCTACTGCTATTTCCTTGATATTCCCTTGTAGTCCTGGACAGAATCATGACCCATGGGGTGCAGGAAAAGTCCATTTATAGAGTACACTTATGGTAATATTTTCCTGCTGTGTGCAAAAGAATAATTGAAAGACTGCTGTTGTATACCTCTTTTTCTCCTGTGTTTAATTGTTTTCCCTATTTGGTGGATTCTTTACATTCTCATTAATGGAGTTGTGATCATTTTGGTCCCTCTCTAGAATCTCTTTTAGTAGTCTGCATAGGCTTGGCTTTATCATCATGAAATTCTTTAGTTGTTCTTTGTCATGGAAGAATTTCACTTCTCCATTATACTTGAAAGAGAGTTTTGCAGAGTATATCACTCTGGGTTGGAATTAGTTTACTTGTAAGATGTGTAGTACTTTGCTCTATGCTCATCTTGACTTGATGGTCTGTGAAAAGAAATCTGCCATTATTCTGATGGGTTTTCCTTTAAATGTGATCTGCTTCTTTTCTCTAGCAGCTTTTAGTGTACTGTTCCTGTGCTGAATTTCTGGGATCTTAATTATTATATGTCTGGGTGTGGTTTTAGTTGGGTTGATGTTATTTGGAGTTCTATATGCTTCAGTTACAGGATTGTCAGATTGTTGCCCCATATTTGGGAAGTTTTCTGCTATTGCTTCTGTCCATAGTCTTTTTATATCATTTGGATTTACTCCTTTTTTCTCATTGATGCCTATTAGTCTTATGTTGTTCATTTTTGCATCATCTTGCAGGTATTGAATTATTTTTTCCTGCATCCTAGTTATTTTTAAGAAATCTTTTTTTTTTTTTTTTTTTTTTTTTTTACCTTTTCACTAACTGCAATGGAGTCTTCAAGGTCTAAAATTCTATTTTCACTTTCATTGAAATTATTTTACCAGCTTGTGGTTGAGGTCTTAATTTTCTGTATAACACTTTTATTCTGCTTCATGCATTCTATTTGCTATATTGCTCATTCAAGGATTCCATCATTTTTGTATACTCCTCTTTTTCTAATCAGTGTCTTTAGAAACACTTAGTAGTTCTTTCATTATAGTTATCATTTCTTTTTTTACTT